CCAAATTGGATTTCCTTCCTCAAATCTTTTTTCTATTTCATTATAAGGATTTTTATCTGGTGCATTTTGATTAATTTCAGAAAAAACATTTGTTTGATCTTTGTTGCCTCGGATTCTGATTGATCCTTACTCATAGAAGGAGTAGGTTCATCTAATTTTTTCAAGGCATTTTCTTTAGGTGTAGATGTACATGGAACAAAATTATGTGATATATACACATCTTTTGAGATAATTAAGTTTTCAAACAATTTAGGAGAATCTTCATTTGTTTCCTCCCCTGAAGATGATCATTGCCAAAAAAAAAAGGTTTGCTTTAAAAAAAAAAGTAACATCCATTGTTACAAATATTTTCTTTGTATTTTGATCAAAACATTTATAACCTTTTTGAGAAGATGAATATCCAATAAAAACACATTTGATTGCACGGGGTTCAAGTTTACCAAGATGCTTGTGTTCGTGAACAAAAGCTGTGCATCCAAATATTTTAAGTGGTAAATCAGATAGAACTTAAGCAATTGGAAAATATTTCAAGAAACTTTGCAAAGGAGTTTGAAATTTCAAAATACGGGATGACATATGGTTTACTAAATGTGCAACTGGCAAGACAGCTTCACCCCATAAATATTTAGGAACATTGGTAGAGACGAGTAGTGCTCGTGCAACTTCAAGAAGGTGTCGATTTTTCCTCTCTGCAATCCCATTTTGTTGGAGTGAGTTAACACATGAACTTTGATGCACAATTCCATTTTCAAGAAAAAAATTTCCAACAATTTTATTAAAAAATTCAGTACCATTGTCAATTCTAAACATTTGTATTTGGGTGTTAAACTGTGTCTGCATCAATTTACAAAAGTTTTGAATTATTTGACCTACCTCGGATTTTTCTTTCAACAAGTATACCCAACAAAGTCTAGTATGATCATCTGTGAAAGTGATAAACCATTTTTTGTTGGATAAAGTACTTGTTCGATTAGGCCCCCAAACATCACTATGAATCATTGAAAAAGATTTTGAAGGTTTATAAGATTGAATTGGAAAAGAACTTCGATGATGTTTAGCAAACTCACAAACCTCACATTGAAGTGAAGAAATGTCTTGTTCAACAAAAAGTTTAGGAAACAATGAACTTAAATATTTAAAACTAGGGTGGCCTAACCTTAAATGCCACAACATAATGTCATCCTTATTATTTGAAACAAAAAAAGATTTAACAGAAGAAAAACTTATTGGTCCTAATTGATGTCTGGTTTTTGGTTCATCTTCCAAGTAGTAGAGTCCACCACTTTCCTCAGCAGTGCCAATCGTCTTCCCTGAGATCAAATCCTGAAATACACAATGAGTATCAAAGAAATGAGCTTGACAGTTTTTATTTTTGGTTAGCTTACTGACAGATAATAAGTTGCAAGACAAATTTGGGACATGTAACACATCTTGGATGGTTAGTAAGGGAGACAAAACAATAGAACCTTTTCCTGCCATGGCTGAAAGAGAGCCATCAGCTATTCTAATTTTGGAATTTCCTGCACATGGTTTATATGAAGAAAATAAACTGGATTCATCGGTCATATGATCAGTGGCTCCAGAATCAACGATCCATGTACGATTAGGAATGACACTAAGATTGGCTGATTTTGGGAAGTTACCTTTCTGGGCTATGGAGCACGAAGGTGTTTGAGACTCGAGGAGTTTGTACATTTGGTCTAGCTGTTCCTTAGTGAATGGAAATGCATTTGGGGAAGACTGTGGCTCTTGATTAGAAGTTGCTTGAAGTGCACGACCCTCACCCTTCTTTTTCCAATTAGGAGGCTTTCCATGAATTTTCCAACAAGTCTCACGTGTGTGATAATAACATTCGCAGTGATCACACTAGAGTTTACCATATTTCTTACCATATTTCTAGCCGTCTTTATTGAAGTTGTTTGTGACAAGGGCAGAACCATCAGTTGATGAGTTTGACTTTCCCATCATTGCTTTTTGTCTAGCCTCCTCCCTTCTGATTTTTGAAAAAGTTTCTCGCATAGTTGGCAATAGATTATTGCCAAGAATTCTACCTCTTACTTCATCGAGTTCCTTGTTGAGACCAGCAAGAAAAATAAAGACACAGTCGTTCTCCTGCGTCTTAATAAATTGAACACTGTCTTCAGTACACCTCCAGTTATAATCATAACACTGATCCAACTCTTGCCAAAGAGCCATCAATTCATTATAGTAGGTAGTGACATCCATGTCGTTCTACTTTAAATTCCATAACTTTGATTTTAGATCATAAATTTGAGAGAAACTTTTAATATCAGAGTAAGACAGTTTTACAACATCCCAAACTTCTTTTGCTGTAGGCAGATACATGTATGTTTTTCTCATACCTACCTCCATAGTATTAATAAGCCAAACAATAATAGAAGATTTTTCAGATTTCCAGAACCTGTAATTAGGATGTGTTGTTGCAGGCACCGGAGCATCACCCGTAAGAAAATCCAACTTCCCTTTGCCTTCTAGAATAAGTCGTACAATTTGGGACCATTCAGCGTAGTTTGAGCCATCCAATTTCTGAACATTAACCTGAAGAGAGTTATTTTGACCTTCACCTCCTGAGTTACTGTAACCACCATCAAATGGGTAGCCATAACCGGACCTAAAAAGGTTGTTGGGATCACCTCTGCCAGGGATCACATGGTAAATCCACTTCCTCTGTCGGAATGGAATTGACGTTGGCGCCGCCGCCGAAATTGTTGTTGGTGCCGCCGCCGCCGAAATTGTTGTTGGTGCCGCCGCCTTCGCCTCCACGACCTCTGGGAGGAAGAGGTGTTTGGGTAGGGTCCATTATAGTTTGGATCGGTCGGGTCGGATAAAAGAACGGGTCGCCATAAATTTTGTTCCGAGGTGATGCCCCGAACCCCACTAGTTAGGGAAAGCTTTACAGTATCACCCTAACCCTAACAAAGTTCATGATACCATGTAGAAAAGCATATGGGTAATAATTGTATATTTTATTATGAAGGAAAAATGGCTCTTTTATAGGAGAGAAAATACAAAGTCAGCTCCTTTATTTTAGGAGTGATATAATGACTCTTAAAGTAATATAATGACTCTTAAATAAGAAAATAAATAATACTAAATAAGAGATATTTCAACAACCCTTCACATCCATCACTATTAGGCTTGATGCGTGAGTATTAACGGTGGGGGGTCCGAATCGTCGATATGTGGGACTTGATTTTTCCAATACACCCACTTACGCTCAATACTATTGGGCTTGGTGCATATATGTAAATGGTGGGTGATCCCGACTTGAAAGACTGTGTAGGTTGGGCATAACTCATTCCTAGAAAAACCGGGTTGGGGGCAACCCAACTTTTATAAAAAATTACACAAGCCATATCTCTATGCAAAGTGGGACTAAATTCACCCCTTAGAGGTGACAGTGAAGGCTGTTAAGAGTCCCACATCGGATAATATATGGCTTGAACATGTGCTTATAAGTGGGGGCAATCTCACCCTACAAGCCGGTTTTGTAGAGTTGAGTTAGGCCCAACACATTTCTTAACATGGTATCAAGAGCCTCGTTTAAGTCTGGTGGGCCACTTCCTATCAGGTTTCTGCTATTGGGCCACCCACCATTTATTTTCACACTCCAAATGTCCAGTCCTGGACGTGAGGGGTGTGTTAAGAGTTCCACATCGGATAATATATGGCCTGAATATGCCCTTATAAGTGGAGACAATCTTCACCTTACAAGCTGGTTTTGTAGGGTTGAATTAGGTTCCACCACATTTCTTAACAAAGGAAAACCAAGAGCTCCAAATAGGCCACTAGGGGCAGACTGCAATGAAGACGGAAATTCCAATGAGCCTGAAGCGTGGACGATGCGGGAAGCCCAACAAAACAGATCTAGGATAGACTCTAATACCATCTTAGAATGTGTGGGTTGAACTTAACTCATAACTTATAAAACCGACTTGTAAGATGGGGGCAGTCCAAGTTTTATAAACACTACACAAGTCATATTTCTAAGCAATATGAAACTAAATTCACTCCTTCAAACCCAACACATTGAAGGTAACCAAATGCCACAATAAGCGACTAGGGACGGACTGCTATGAAGGCGGAATTTCCAACCCTATATATGTTCTCCCACTCCCTGTGTAATGTCACCAGTCTTCATTCTGTTATAATTTTCCTTCGTAGCAAACTTTTGGCCACTCATCTTCTTGCCCCAATGACTGTCCAACATCATCATGGTTGTTACAGTTCTTTTTGTCTAGGGCCATTTCAGGAAATCGTGAGAGAATCACAGGAGATTTGATTCACTTCTCCCTGATTTTATTTTATGTTTGATTTGAATCTAATCTGATTTGATTTGTATTTACCTCCTTCCGTTACTAGTCTTCTTAATTGTTGGAATTGCAATTATAGTAATCTGTCATATATAAACATATCTAGACTGCTATAGTAAACATGAAAGTATTTTCCCCATTACTTTCTACAGGAATTACAACCAAGTCTTTTTATCAGCAAAACAAAAAACTGACTTATCTTGTGATAGAAACTAACTGATATATAAAAGGAAATAGGGAAAATTCCTTTGAATTATAGAATAGTATAACAGAATTTCGAGGGTCTGCACCTCCCTAATGCCAAAATGGCCCCTTTCCCGTCCAATTACCCGATAAATTACTCTTCCCTATCTTCCCCTATTTATTCTAAATATAAACACACAAAAATAACTCTCCACCAACCATTCTAGAATAGTATCATAACTCTCCACTAACCACTCTTAATAATATAATAATTTGCTATTTAAAAACATAATTGCTAAGTCATATGAGAACTCTAACAATACTCCGCCCCTAAAGATTCACCTTGTCCTTAAAGTGAAAGAAATATCCCGTAAAATAATGTATCCTCCTGGATCCCATAGCTTGAAGCAAAAGGATTGAGCAGTACATGAAATATGAAAAATTCCTCCCGGATCAATTTTGCTTGCTGCTAGCGGCTCTCTAATGAAGGGTTGTTGTGGCGATACTGGTATTGGGAACTTTCTCGTTCCTAGACTTCATCTTAGGAATATTAGTAAACACCGCCGTGCCGATGGTGATTTCGACAATGGAGGTTGTTGGTCTAATCATTCCGGTAGTGACATCTCATTTGGTTCTTCATTCTCTATTGAATAAGTTTCTGACCCAAATTTCTTTGAGAATTTTTTAAATTTCCCCAAGTGGAACTTGGATTGACCAAAATCCATAATTGGTACCATGTGATGGCTTTACCACTCATCCATTGCACAACTTTTGGTATTTGATCTTCTTTACATACAACTGCATCAAAATATTTATCTACTCTGATCATCCATCCAACAACATCTCTTCCTTCAAAGATTGGTATTTCTAATCGTAACTCTTTGAGTTCTCTTCTCCAATCTCTAATTTCTTTCACACTTCATCAACAAGGTGAAACATTTCTTCTATTTTTTTAATGTTTTTTTATTCCTCTTCCGGATTAGATGTGCTCTGATACCAGTTGATAGAAACTAACTAATATATAAAAGGAAATGGGAAAAGTACAACAGAACTTTGAGGGTCTGCACTCCCTAATGCCAAAACGGCCCCTTTCCCGTCCAATTACTCGATAAACTACTCTTCCCTATTCTTAGAATGTGTGTGTTGGGCCTAACTCAACCCTACAAAACCGGCTTGTAGGGTGAGGATTGCCTCCACTTATAAGCCCATGTTCAGGCCATATGTTGTTTGATGTGAGGCTCTTAACACTCCCTTTCATGCCCAGGATTGAACGTTTGGAGCGTGGAATTAAATGGTGGGTGGCCTGATAGCGGAGTGGCCCTACGGATCTTAAACCGGACTCTGATACCATCTTAGAATGTGTGGGTTGGGCCTAACTCGACCCTACAAAACCGGCTTGTAGGGTGAGGATTGCCCCCACTTATAAGCACATGTTCAAACCATATATTGTCCAATGTGGGACTCTTGACACCTATCTCCCCCTATTTATTCTAAACATAAACACACATAAATAACTCTCCACTAACCATTCTAGAATAGTATCATAACTCTCTACTAATCACTCTTAATAATATAATAATTGCTATTTAAAAACATAATTGCTAAGTCATATGAGAACTCTTAACATCTTATTCCCTTGAATAACTGGTAGGTTATAATATTTTCTTATACAGGGAATTGGATGTACGAAAATCACGAAAGCAAGAAATGATGGCTACATCAACGGGAATATAGAATCAAGATCTTATCTTGAAAAGAAGCTTGTATTTTGTTTTGGTTCATATGTTGCATCCCAAATGTTATTTCCTTTTGGGGAAGAAAACTTACTGTCTTCATCTGAGATACAGCAAGCACAAGAGGTTGGCTAATATTTCTTTCCTTTTGGTGCAACTCAAATATTTTCTTGTTTTTCATTTAATTGCTTTGAAAATAATGTTATTACTTTTTACAAAATATTGTGACTATGAAGCCTCTGATTGGTTTTTTGTAACAGATAGCTACGCGAATGGTCATTCAATATGGATGGGGACTGGATGATAGTCCTGCAATTTATTACAGTAATAACGCGGTATAAACCTTTCTTACATGCTTCCCAACTGTCATTGATTTGGTTGTAATGCATATAGATTGTGCGGTGTTGGATTTATGATTTCAGTGTCTCAATCAGACCACACTCACCTCTATTTATAATAGCAAGTAAAATAAATGCCTCTCCCTCTGCCCCTTAATAATTGTCACATTCGCAAAAGAAAAGTGTCCCAAAAAGATTGTCGTTTTTAGTTTCCAATGCATCATTAGTTTTATTTCTTCAAAAGTACCCTCTAATTAATACTATAAACATCAATATTCTCCACTTGGCATTCATGACAATTGAAATATACCAATAGTGAACATGGATAATTGTGTAATATCACCATTCTCTTTCATTCATTTATCATCTTTTATTAATCTGTGGGAAATGGTCAAATGTGATGGATATTGTGGGATGGAGAGAGTAATTGATTTGAGTTGCAAATTCTAATCCTAATAATGAGTAATAGGATTTGATTTTGATTCTAACATGTAGCAATTCAAATTAGATTTAATTATTTATTAGGGTACTTGAAGCTTACTTTTGACATAGCATGATGTTAATGTCTGTAGTTCTAAAAATGTTCATTATGGTTAAGGTAATTTTTTTTAGCAAAAATAATTTACTGAATTGTTAATTGAGCTAGTACTCACCAACAAGAAGAAATAACATAAAATGGTAGATTAGGCAATCTCTCAAAAGACTTTAAGTGCAATTGAACTTGGGGTTTTAAGTTCCAAGTAAAATGTGCTCTATGCTTGATTTAACTGTGTAGAATGTGTCATGCATTGCTTGCTCTAAAAATCTTTCATTAATCCAATCTTTCATTTTTTTTCTCCATCTGTTGCATTTTACCCTTTTCTTTAAACAATAGGATACGACTTTCTACTTTCTGAATTTGATATACTAGAGACTCACTTTATTATCAATGAAATAATGGAAGATATCTGTCATAACTGCATAAGACAAAATGTTTATTGTCTTTGGTTATTTAACGTTGATATGTGAGTATATTGTAATGCATGCCTATTTTATGTTTCCTGTCATAGGTTTCTACATTAAGCATGGCAGGTGACCATGAATATGTGATGGCCGCTAAAGTTGAAAAGGTAGCCATATTTTAGTAAAAATTTATCTTCTTCTACAAAATAACATCCAATTTAATGTGATCTCTTGTAATGTTTCTAGATGTTTGATTTGGCATATCTCAAAGCAAGAGAAATGCTGCAGAGAAATCGCCGGGTACTAGAAAAGACTGTAGAGGAATTACTTGAATTTGAAATTTTGACTGGAAAGGTACATAATTAGTGTCTAAGATGTTGAGTTTGATATTTGTCTACTTGCTTTGCTACTTGTCTACTTGCACATGTAATACAAATTCTTTTAACATCTAATGGAATGTGAGTATGTATTTTCTATTTTTTGTTGGAAATTCAGTATCTTAAGCGAATTTACCCGTATAGAAACCTAGTCTCTTGATCTTTTGTGCTTTTGCATTGCATTTTCTTATCCTGTTTCCATTTATAGAGCTTGCAAACATTATATGGTATTTTTGTTTGATCTTATGTTTTGCTAAATACAATTTGTTTATATTTTGGTGGCCTGAGAGTATTAATCAATTCCTGTATTATTATCATGTGAGTTATTCTTGTTTATTTAGTCTTGAGTATTTTTGTTAACAATAACTACACAAGATGCTTTAAAATTTGTATAATGAACTTAGCCGGCGGCATTTGTTTAGTCATCTCCTAATTTCACCGCATTTTTTGATAAAGTTAATTTGATACTCATTGTGCTCTCGTGCTTGGAATTCTATAATAGCAGTAGTATTATATCCTATAAAATTCCAGTATTATATTGAATTGCCAGTCCAGTGAGCTCATTTGTTGTTGTTCAAGTAAGCATAGTGCCTTCTACTGTTTTCCCCCATATGGTTCTTTTGCAATCTGTTTTATATTGGGCATGACAAAATTCTACCTTCTAGCAGGGTTTGGAAAGAATTACCAAAGATAATGGTGGAATCAAGGAGAAGGAGCCGTTTACTCTTTTTGAAGTTCAAGCTAGTGAGGTATATGATTGTTATGTTTAAATAAAGTTTTTGGGAGAATTTAATTTTGCATAGAAGGAATAAAATCTCAAAAGACATTTTTGAGAATTATATTCTGAATGCTCTTACATGTATACCATTTGTGATGGGAGTTGTAACCCAGCACATCTATCTGCTGTGACCACTCACTATTTCCGTTATTGTTTTCCAGCCAACATCCGGCAGCCTCCTTGAAAGAGGAAACACATCAGGAGGTGCTTTGCTAGCATCCTAGATAAATCTATTGGGAGTTGTACATTCTGAGGTGCTATATTTTTTTGGGGGAGGGGGTTCAAAATTTTCACTTGTACTTGGATAAGCCTGTTATATAGTTTATAGTGTAACATTTATATATGGTTATCATGCCTGTATTCGTTGGGATAAGAAGAGCGAGAGCAATATCCCAACATCCTGTATTGTAACTTAAATTCTTTATTTTAGTTATTGGATAGAAGAGTGGTCTTGAATAAAATATTATGGCGAAAGTTTATCTACTTAGCCGACCCTATTTTGTGGCACAAGGCTTGGTTGATGTTTGTATAGTTATTGGACATTTTATTTTACACTTCAACTTGGTTAACATTTCATTGTAAGTTTTACGAACATAGAGACATATATAATGGTTGTGGTTGCATTCATTTTGTATTGTTTATATTAACTTGGAATATCTATTTGGCACAATCAATCTGGAAAAACTAAAACAAAAAGTTATGTAGTTTTACAGTTTAGGCGGAATTAGTACTGGAGTAAATTTTGAGTTTGGAAAGGATGGAGGCAGTAGTCAATTGTGAAAGAAAAACCTTCGTGTTGACAGTGGAAAAAGCACACGCATGTGCTAAAAATATCTTTGCTGAGTTAGAAGACAATACGTAAAATTAAATGACATTAAGTCTATACAATCTTCATGTGCATTTTACCTACATTATTTTTGTTTTGAATTGATTGTGGTTTTGAAATCTCCATTTCTTCAATTGAAAAAGAAAATAAGAAACGAAAACCTTATAGAAATACATGTAATTACCATCTGCTATAAATTTGGCAGCAAGTAAAACATACAGCTGAATTTTGAGGCCAAGGGAAGTCAACATATTAAACTAAACAACTTAGTACTACAAAAGACTTGCTACTGGGGATGTGGTAAAGCCTGTTCCCTTTTCCGAGCCACTCTCTTGTCTTCCATTACCACAAATGCTTTTCCTTCTTGGCTTTGCCTCTCTAAGCATTGTGATGATGTCTCTCATGGATGGTCTTTCCTTAGGAAGTTTTGCAGTACATAGAAGTGCAATCCGGAGCACAAGAAGCATCTCTTCTTGTACATATTTGCACTCACCGGCTATGGCCGGATCTAGTGCTTCTAACAAGGCTTTATTGTTTCTTTTCTTTCGTATCCATTCGACTATGTCCACAGCTTCTTCAAATGTAGGGTCTAATGGCATTTTACCAGTTAGCAGCTCCAAAAGTACCACTCCATAACTGTATATGTCAATCTTCTCATCTACCTTCAGAGTGTATCCATATTCTAAAACCAAAAGAAAAACTACATCAATCATTTGTATATCATGGTGAATAATAAACTATCGGATACAAAGTACTAACCCGGTGCAATGTAACCATAAGATCCAGCCACCATTGTAACAGTCTCATTCTTTTGAATCATCATTCTTGCCAACCCGAAATCTGCTATCCTTGCCTCCAAATTTGCGTCAAGGAGTATGTTATTAGACTTGATATCCCTGTGAATAACTGATGGATGACAATCATGGTGTAGATAGTTCATCCCTTGTGCAACTCCAAGAGCTATGTTATACCTTGAAACCCAATCTACAAGCAACCTTGCAGATTCTTCACCATGCAGTGCAGTTCCAAGGTTTCCATTAGGCATGTACTCATAAACCATTATCACATCTCTTTCATTGTGAACATACCCTAATAGTCTTACAATATTCCTATGCCTCAATCTCCCCAACAGTTCCACTTCTCTTAATACATCATTCCCGCCGTTTTCTATGTCTGTGCTTGACCTCCACAGTTTCTTCACTGCTACTGTTATCTGAGGTTTATGGATTTCAGCTTTGTAAACAATGCCAGCACCACCCATACCTATCACATTTGATTCCTTAATACAAGTAAGTATCTCACTACTTGTAAAACTTATCCTTTGAAATGCTACTAACCTCCAAGGCCAATCTTCATTGCCTTGTTTGAACCAATCATAGATGAAATTGTTATGCAAATAACATCTATTGTATAACCATTTGCCTCCAAAATATACTGCAGCAAGAGATAAAATAACCAAAATTCCAGTCAAAAAACCAATAACAATGTGTCTAATGTGTGAGCTCCTCTTCTGGCTTGTCATGGTCGAGCTCCGAGAACATGGAGGGAGAGTGCCTCCACAAAGAGCAGCATTTCCGATAAAATCATTAGGATTCATGGTCAGTAGAATCCCATTTGAGGGTACTGACCCTTCCAGTTTGTTATAGGACAGGTTCATCGTTTCAAGAGCCGCGGAGCTTCCGAAGTTTTCAGGTATTCGACCGGTCAGTGAATTGTTGGACAAGTCAAGAACAGATAAGGTAGGCATGTTTGTGATTGATTTTGGTATTCCACCTGTCAAATGATTGTTCCTGAGGTTAAGGTTAACTAGCTTTGTACAAGAAGCTATACTTTCCGGGATTGCGCCGGAGATATTTGCACTTGAAAGATCAAGCACAGAGAGAGATGGGCATCCCTGGAACTCATCAGGGATAGTACCTCCAAAGCTGTTGTGAGAGGCAATGAAGGTTTGCAGAGATGGAATAGAGAGAATTTCTGAAGGTAATGATGACTCAAGGTGATTCCATGACACATCAATGAAGGAAAGTGACATGGAAGAGGTTAAATCTATAGGAATTTTCCCGGTGAGATTGTTTTTCGCCAATTCCAGCCGTTGAAGGCTCGGAAGATTGCCGAATCCAACCGGAATAGCTCCTGAAATAACATTGTTTTGAATCCGAACACGCACCAACGGTGAACAGTTTGAAAGTCCAGTTGGAATGTTACCGGAGAATGAATTGTTAAAGAGAATGAGTTTAGTAAGATTGCCTGTTGCACATAAACCTGGAGGAATCTCGCCAGACAATGAGTTAGATGACACATCTAGCCACTGCAAAGGAGAATTTCTTCCAAGGTTCATTGGCAAAGAACCTTCTAAAGAATTTTTCCATAACTCAAGAACATGTAAGTTTTTCAATTCACCAAGCTTTTCAGGTACATGACCTGTTAGTTTATTGCTCATTAAATTCAAAAGCTGCAAATTTTCCAGTTTAGCAAATTCTTCTGGTATTTCTCCTGTGATCTGATTATCAGAGAAATCTAGAAATTCTAGTGACATAATGTTTCCAATTTGAGGTGGAATTTTCGCGGTGAATTTGTTTCGGTATAAGTAAATAGTAGCGAGTTTCTTGAGCTTACCTAACTCAGGTGGAATTGGTCCACTGAGAGTTCCTACAGCCAAATCAAGATATTGAAGATTTGTCATGTTACCAAATTCTGCAGGAATCTCACCTTCAAACTCATTGTATCCCATAATCAATGTCTCTAGAGAATTTAGTTCACCAAGATATTCCGGAATCCTGCCTGTCAAGTTATTGCCCGAAAGGCCTAGAAATTTAAGATTTTGCAAATTTGTAAAACTCCTTGGAATTGGACTTACAAAGTAATTTCCTCGAAAGTCGAGGCTTTCGAGCAATGTTGCATTTCCAATATCCTCAGGAACAGGACCTGAAAATTCATTGCTTGATGCATTGATTGATCTCAACTCAGCAGATAGTCCGAATCCGACTGGAAAGCCACCGGTGAAGTAGTTTTGGCTCACATCAAAGCTCTTTAGAAAAGCAAGGTTGGAAAGCGATTTCGGAAGGGGCGAAGCAAAGTTGTTACGACTTATATTGAAATAAGATAAACATGAAAGAGATTGAATGTGATTTGAAACAATGCCACTTAAGTTCATGTTGTAGAGTTCTAGACTCTCTACAAAGCCTTTCGTGTTGCAACCGACTCCGGTCCAGTTACAATGGAGCCGCTGCGTCGCGTTGCTTGGCGGCTGCCAATCCGCCAGATGATTCATTGGATCAACAAAACTTGATTTGATAGTGAGAAGAGTTGAAAGTTCATCATTTATTGTAACTTGAGTTCCCTCAATAAAAAAGAGAGAGACAAGAATGTAAGAATAGAAGAGAAACAAATGAGTTAGCATTTTTTGGTGGTTTCGTTTTGTTTGTTCCTGTTAATGTTGTTGCATATTTGAGAGCAGGGAACAAAGAAAAAAAAGAGAAGGGAATGAAAGTTATAGGAAAATAAGTGGAAAGGTGATTATTTATTGGATATACGTAAGTACTTGGGATGTGAAGCAGGTAATCATGTGGAAGTGATGAGTGTGATTACTTGGACATATTTGAAACCTGACAGACACGATAACATGCAGAGAATGTGTTATGATAATATTGATAAGGTCAACTCAAGTGAGTAATGTAAGCGTTTTAAACTTTTTTCCAATGAAGTGTAAAATAGATGTGGATATATGTTATTAGAGAATGTGTTTTGGACAATCATTGTTTGTACCAACCAAACCCATTCCTTATGATAAATAAAATGTGGTCACCACATGGGTACATCTGGCTCTTTACAATTATTATATGAAACTTATATGAAGTACTAGTATAATGTATTATAGATTCTTCTAGTTTTGTAATGAGAGATTAATAATTGGGCCCATAAATAATGAAAGTGAAAGGGTGGAAGGCATGTGAAATGGGGAAGGGAAAGAGAAAGAGAAAGAGGAATGAATGGTTGAGTTATATTCGTCATTATTGGGACTTTCATCATAAAAAGAAAAAGGAAACTGCCTCTCATGCTAACAACTTTGAGATATGCTATATTATTTTTCTTTCTCAACAAAAGGCTGAAAATATATTTTCTTCACATGGTTCTATAACTAACTTATTGTTTAATATACATTCGCTGCTAAAGATAAGCTAGTAACTAAAGAAATATAAATGCATTTTTCCTCCTTATTTTAATCTGCTTGCATAATTTGTATATTTTTCAGAATCAACAGGTCATGGTTTCAATTTCAACCTCCAATTTTAAAATTACAAATATTAATATGAATATTTAAATAATATGACATACAACCTGATAATCTGTAAAATTATATAGATATATTAATTGTTTAATGTCATTAATTAAATTATA